TTTTTGATTTATTGTAGAGATGAGGTCTTGCTAAGTTGCCCAGGCAGGTCTCGAACCTGCAGGCTCAGGCAATCCACTCATCTCAGCCTCCCAAAGGCGCAGGATTACAGGCTGAGCCACCAAGCTGGGCTTAGAGGCCATACTTTTAAGTACTCTGTTGCTAATGTAAACTTCACCACAAAACTCTGGGATAGAGATCATCATCCCCATTGTACAGATGTGGAAACTGAGGCTTAAGAGTTAAGTAACAGGCTGGGCTTAGTGACTCAGCCTGTAATCCCAGCACTTTGGGAGGCTGAGACAGATGGATTGCTTGAGCCCACGGGTTTGAGACCCGCCTGGGCAACTTGGTGAGACCCCATCTCTACAATAAATCCAAAATTAGCCAGGCAAGGTAGCGCGTGCCTGTAGTTCCGGTTACTTGTAAGGCTGAGGTGGAAGGATCACCAGAGCCCAGCAGGTCGAGGCTGCAGTGGCCGGGAGCGTGCCACTGCACTCCAGTCTGGGCAACATAGCGAGATGCCAACTCAAAAAAAAAAAAAAAAAAAAAGAGTTAAGTAACATTTAAAATCAGCTGGTAAGCGGCTGACATTTTTTTTCCCTACTCCCTCTTCTCCCCTTTCTATTCCTTTTCTAGAACTTTTTGACTTCGGCCCAGGAAGAGTTTGCATTTGCCAGGAAATGGAAACATTTCTTTCATCTGTTTTTGTTTCTCTTATGGCTTTTTGTTTCCCCAGAAAGTATCTTTTATAGTCATGAGGCAATATCTGAATGATTTGTTTTGTTATGTTACATGTGCTATGAAACAATTTAGGAAAGCATAGCATTTGCTTTTTCAGAGCTTATATTCTAAAACTGTTGAAAATTATTTTTTTGCAGGGAGATTGGAACAATTATCAGGTCATTAGGATGCTGCCCTAGTGAAGGAGAGCTACATGATCTGATTGCAGAGGTAAGAACTTAGGGCTAAGGAAGTTTCATTCAGCAGACTGTTTGACAACTACTCCTTGTAGTTAAAAACAATCCTTACCTGAAACTAAAAATGTCACAAACTACTGAATGTGCTCAGTGAAAATATTAGGGCAGCTACGAACATTAGCCAGCCAATGGGATCTGAAAGAAGATCAAATCTTGAAGAACTGACTATGAACAAGTATCACAATTGGTCAAATAAAGAGGCAGTTTAGAAGTTATCTTCCCTTTACAATTAGTTGAAGAAAGGTCAGTGGACACAAAGGACTGACCATATTCAGAAACACCGTTTATTGATAGATGGAAGGAGTACAGTAAGTAATGTTGGCTCAAAGGGGACGGAAGCAGAAATAGACTGTAAGGAATTTGTATTTATTTGTGGAAATAAAACTAATTTTTAGAACAAGTAGTAAACAGAATAAAATAATAAGAGCTAGCTTTACATTGACCAGATAGTCTAAGAATTTTTTACATGATTATTTATAATACATAATTCTGTCCCTGGAGAGAACTATCCCATAAGGCAGTGGGTGAGCAGTCTAAGATGAGGGAGCTTCATGCTCTGTTTGGCTTTCCAGAAAGGTCTCTGATCTAATTTCAAATGCAGTAGAGACCTTGAGGGGAAAAGCTACCTGGGCCACCACCAGGAGAATATTTTCAGAATTCTTATTTAAGCACATAGGTTTTGGTGGAGGCCAGGGGTTAACAAAGAGGGTAAGGAGAAAGGCAAGGATTTTATTTATCTCCTCCTTCCTTGCACCATCACAGTACTTGCTGGTTCACTGTTAAGTTGAAGAGAAGGAATTGTGACCTTGGGCAAGTCACTTAAGCTCTGTTCAGAATCAGTTTGTCTACAATAATAACTACTTCAAAGTTTGCTTCAAAGATCAATGAAAGAATGTATAAGAATACAAGTTTTGAATCCTAAAGCACTACATAAAATTAAGGAATGGAAGTTTAGAAAAATGACTCAATTGCCCACATATTAGCACCTTGGTGACTGAAAAGCAGTATCATTTTTTTTTTTTTTTTTGAGTTGGAGTCTCACTCTGTTGCCCAGGCTGGAGTGCAGTGGCACGCTCACGGCTACCCCATTGTCAACCTGCTGGGCTCCGGCGATCCTTCCACCTCAGCCTTCCAAGTAGTTGGAACTACAAGTGCGTGCTACCACGCCCAGCTCATTTTTTATTATACTGTGGAAGCGAGGTCTCGCCAAGTTTCCCGGGCTGATCTTGAACCTGCAGGATCAGGCAATCCACTCACCTCAGCCTCCTAAAGTGCTGGGATTACAGGCTAAGCCACCAAGCCCAGCCAACAGTATCCTTTAAAAAAAAACATTTAAAAATACCCAGTTAATGAATCTAAGTTTTTACATTTTACATTGCTTTTACATTTTGGGTTCAATAAAGCTATTTTTCCAAAGAGTGCGGGGAAAGCTTCTTTTTCCTGAATTGGTAGTCAGATAAAAAAAAAAAAAAAAGATGCTGCCAATCACTACCTTAAAGTGTTTTTGTCTACAAAGCTAGAATTGGTTAGGAACTGGAGGAAAATTTACAGTGAAATCATAATTATTGCATGTTCAGTAGAGTATGTGGAGTGGTAATGAAAAATGCCTCTGAAGGTCAGACAAGGAGAATATTTAGAGCCTAGTCTCTTTGTGGGTTTTTTGGTGTATTTTAATCTGTATCAGGGGTCAGCAATGATCCCTAGCCAAATTCAGCCCACCACCTGTGCTTGTAAATAAGATTTTATTGGAACAGAACTAAACTCACTTATTTACATATTATCTGTGACTGTTTTCTCTCTACAAGGACAGAATTGAGTACTTGCAACAGAAACTATATGATTTGCAAAAATTAAAAATATTTACTGTCTGGTCTTTTACAGAAAAAAATGTGATCTTTGGGTTTCTATGCCAGAGTAGAACAAATACCATATCTAGTATCAAAAGATCTGGGTTCAAACCCTGCAGCTACCAATTACAGCTACGTGGCCATCAATGAGCTGCTTAATCCTTCAAAGCCTGGTTCTGTATCTGCAAAAGGAGTCTAATAATATCAAAATGTTTTTATGAGGATTAAATTTAATAACCGTGAGGAATCAACTGTTACTTGGTGGACACTCAGTACATATTTGGGTTTGCTTGCTCTGCAGGTGCGTTGCTACCAAAATATCTCTACTGGTTTGGGCACTTGGCCACAGTGGATCTTAGGTCGCAAAGTTTTATTTTATTTTTATCCTTTTATTAGACACATTGATATAACCTTTGAAAATTACAGACATTTAAAACAGTTATGGACCAATGGGCATCACTGAGCTATTAAGCTCTGTGAATGTTTTTTGTATTCGTATACCAACACAATTTATTCTAATTCAATTCTAGCGATATCCTTAAACAGCTTTGGGTATGACTACCCTCTTTGAACTTTCCCAAATAAATGGAGGGGGGAGGGAACCTCACATATTTGTATTTATCAAGTTTGCATTGATAAATACAAATATTTGCATTGATAAATACAAGTATGTTTTTTTACATATGTAAATACATTTAACATTTACTATATTTAAATACATTTTAAAAACCAAAGCTTCATAACTATGCATATAGGAGTAAATATAATATTGCTAAATATTCTTTAATAATTTCAAGCTCTTCAAATGTATGTGTGTATATACTTTAAAATTGTTCTATCAAAAATTGAAACTTGTGTGTATTTCTGTACTTATCATCTTCTTGAATGTTAGTGTAGATACACTCTTTTCTCTTTAATTTTTATAACTTTCAGTCCTTTGCTTCCTGAGGACCAATTCCAAATCTAATCTTTCTCTTGAGATAGATTATTTTTAAAATTATTCAATATTGATCCATCTACTTAATATTCTATAATTAACAACTTGCTCCAAATAATCTCTGCCTGTTTGGAATATCACAAAAACTGGCAACTAGGAGAAGGGTTAGTGAAAATTTGACTGATATGTAGGCTATCAAATAATTTATTCTTTAATATTAAGTTTGAGTCATTTAGAATCTTTAGTGTGTGGGAAGTGGGAGGAGATAAGAACGTTTTGATCCAAGTGGAAAAAAATCTTTAGAGGTCTACGTCATTTGAAGTTGAAAACCTAAGTGGAATTACAGAGAATTCAAGCTAATCACAAAAGAGAACTAAAAGATGTTTAAAAATAAGACCTGTGTTGGTAAAATTGTAATTCAGGCTTAGGAGCTAAGCAAGGATTATGACTTTTTATTGGGGTGACCATTCTCAGCCTCCATTCCCCATCCATGCCCCTTTTTGGTTGCAGATGTTAAACAGGATCCTTACTGGCTACCCGTCTGTTTTGCCTCTATACATTCTGTGTTCTGATGGCTCCCTTTGGCTCACTCTTCAACCTTACTCGTTGTTATATGAGAACGCTTTGCTTCTATGGTTAAACAACTCCGCCTGGTCTGTTACCTGGGTTGGGGGGATCTTGGCTGGTTAGTCATTTTATGGATTTAACAAACGTTGGTCTGTGTTTACCTAATTTAGTCAACCCTGGGCTACAGAGGATGCCATCACAGAACTTAGTGATGCTAGTGCCTTTCTCACCAGCATATGCCTGATGCCCTTGGTGGGCAGTATGTCATCGAGCCCTCCCATGGGACATAATTCTCTGGTGGGTTTTCTGACTCATAATAAATCCATTTTACCCTGCCCACTTCTATCAGCTCAGTTTTTCTACTTCACTCAGTGTTGGGTATCACTTTTTCCAGGTCTCTAAAAGTCACCCTAGCAGCAAGTTTGCCCCATCTCCTAGGGTTCTTGGCCGAGTGTGAGGTCTTAAGTTTTGAGAAACTGCCTGAAGTCAATGAATTCTTTTTTTTTTTTTTTTGAGTTGGAGTCTCACTCCATCACCCAGACTGGTGTGCAGTGGCATGCTCCCGGCCACCACAGCCTCGACCTCCCGGGCTCTGGCGATCCTTCCACCTCAGCCTTCCAAGTAGTTGGAACTATAGGCACGCGCTACCATGCCCGGCTAATTTTTGATTTATTGTCAAGATGAGGTCTTGCCAAGTTGCCCGGGCGGGTCGTCAATGTTCTTTATTATCCAGTTGTATATTCCAGCCCTCTTGGTCAGGCACTCTCATCCAATCTCAGGAATACTCCCTAACTCCTTTTAGTTCATGCTAGCTAATCCTCTGCTATTTGAGTGTGTAGTCTCTTTCCTCCGTTATCAGGCCCTGCACTTCCCCAGCCAGGTTATGCTGGGATATAACCTTCTATATTGACTGGGAGCAGCCCATGAGAATTATGGTCTTGGCTCAAACATGATGGCTGGGGACATGATCCAATTATGTTTCCTGCAATTAGAGATTTAAAAGTTGCATTTTCTTGGCTGTCATAGTTGTCATCTGGAAGAGCTGTAAGTGAACCGAGTGTTGAATGTCCAACAGAATGACCAAAAGGAGTTGGCTGCTCAATATATTTGATTTCTAAGCTCACCATAGCCTTTCCCTAGCTTTCAGGATTGGATAAAAGCAGAAAACTTCTTAGGAGTAAAATGAAGGTCCTCTCAGATTCAAAGAGGGGAACATGGAAAAGTGAGCAGAAACTTTACTAGCACATGGTAGATAAGATCTTGGCCAGGCTTCTTCTAGAATTCTATTCTTGGACAAAAAGAGGATGCCATGGTAGGGAGAACATGGTAATGACCGTCCTCAGAATATCTGTCTCTTAGTCGACTAAGCCAACTTCAACATGGGACACTTGATCTCTACAGCTGGTACAGAGTTATCATTCTGGGGTCTTGATGATATTCCTGGAAATTGCTGTTTTCTTTCTATTCTGAGTAGAATTTCTCTATATCTTGAGTTCTTCTCTTTATAGTTCCTTTAGCATTTTGGACATTCTTCAATAACTTCTTGGAAAAGAACGCCTTGGAGGTAAAATTTTTGAGACTTTGTATGTTTGAAAGTGCTTGTACTAGTCATTGTTTGGGTAT